TTCTCATGTCATCGAAAACTGCGTAATAATATATACAAGATAGTATATTTTTTACACCTTACGGGTTATTTATATAAGTGCAGCAGTAGGTTGTATATCGCGTAAGCTTGCATTTCCTATCTAACCCGTCTTAAAACTACGATTTTGTAAGCATGATTTCTTACAATTTTCATCGTCAACCTTAATTTTTTTTTATACGAATAGAAAGATGGGAATTCAAAGAATATAATTCAATTTTATTAACCTCGGTTGGGTTATTTATAATTTTAACATTGAGGCCACTGGAGCCACCTTAAATATTAAACGTTGAGTCGAGCCAACATGAGTAAATGGGGACAGACAAATAAAACTTATGAATACATGCAAGGCTGGTAAAACCTCCAATGATAGGTGTATGTATCTATGTACTTTTACGCTGTACTGTCTATAAGTAGAAAAGTAAATGAATCAGTCAATCGAGCGCTTGAGCTGAGGAAGAGCTGCGCGAATGTACTTAATGAGAAAATGGAAGTGAGGAAATACCGCTTGCAAAAATTGCAACTCTGGGGTATTTCTTCATTTTTGAAGAAATGATAAGCGATAATTAAGTTTAATATAAATTCGCCAGTCTAAAGAATTCATTGAGTAGAAGAAAGTGATGATATCACTTCAATGTCATAGTTTTACTGTGACTCCTGTAAGTTTTTGTTTCGGCATGGCAAGGAAATAGTCGTTCGTTTGAGAAAAATATTATTTTCTGCATAAAGAGGGCAAATCAATAAAAATTATAAATGTATACTGAATATTAAAAAAAAAAAAAAAAAAAAAAAATTATAAATAATTATTCTTCACTATTGTATAAAAATTTTCAACGTAACAAAAGTTAACGAGACACAAACGTATGTAACTGTTGTCTTAAAGCTATTATATTTTACTGACAAAAGTCTGACCTACTTTAACTTCAATGTCCTGTTTTCGTAGAGTATTTTGGTAAATTAATGGATATACTTACCAGCATTTTTTTATAATCTACATGTACCGACATTTATGAATTCTTTATATACTATTTTATCGACAAGTGACTAGATAGAAAAAGGCTCGATTTTTAGGCGACACAAAAATTAATTCAATTAAGATGGCTCCAGCGCCTAGTGCCGTATCAAAATGGGGAGACTAAAAATTAATCATTATTTTATTTAAAATATGGTATAAAATTATCGTAAAGACTGTTGTAAGCCATATTCTACCTTTTATCTGTTACTTTAGTGAGTTAATATAAAAAAACAAAAAAGTTTTATGGTGCCCTAATTGATGAACTGTTACGGTACGCTCCTAAGTTCAAGAGTAGTTATACCTATATATATGTACTCTG